TTTTAATGACAAAAGAATTTGAAGTGAAAAAATCATTCAACTGGAAGGTAGTAGAGATGATAATGGCAAACGGTGTTTCCAGAAGACCATGGTTCTTGTGTTCTGGTGTGGAAGAAACCATATTTGAGGCAGGCTAGAAGTAGGAAAAGTTTGGGGCTTAAGTAGGTTGCCCAGGGATGGCCCAGACCACTACACCTGGCCAGGAACCACCCGTGCCCCTCCCCACTCATTGATTATTGCATGGGAATCTCCTGGGTCTGCCCTTTCCCATAGGTTGGCATAGGTTTTTAAAGCACCTGAAAAAGAAAAGCATGTTCTCTCTCTGCTGAAAGACTCCACCTGCTTCCCACCATGCTCCCTTTGTATTTCCCTTTCCCTAACATTACACCCACACATTCTGCTTGGATTCTTCCATGCCAGAATGCGAGAACCAAGGTCTTCTGGAAACACCATTTGCCATTAACAGAGGGAAGGTCTAAACCTGGAGTTCAGTAACTCCACCACCCATGTCATTTTCTCATGGTACCTCATTAAGGAGATATTCAAATACTCATATGAACACATACAAAGCACAGTGTGGTCAGGGTTATAAGAGTGGTATAAATAGAGCTTAGAGCTTAGGATGGGATCAAAACAGGCTATCTAGAAGAGGAGGCACTTGAAATGCATTTGGATGGTATACGGAATATGCAGAATCAACAGGAAGAAATTTTGGACATATGGACAAGCATGAGCACATGTACAGAAACAAAGCTGTGTGGTCCTGTTTGGCCAGATGGTTGGGGCTAATTGGTCATAAGTAGAGCACCTATTTTGAGGTAGGCATGATGTAATAGGAAGGGATGCAGAAAGTGAATTTCAAGATTTCTACCTTTTATAAGCAGATTGATTGACTTTGGCCAAGTTACTTAAACTCTTTGACCTCTCATTTTCTCACCCATGAAAACTGGAGAGAGTTCCTTCTTCATTGGTTGTTGTAACTATTATACATAAGGAGCTTTATAAGTTCTAAAGCACTAATCGTTCTTCATTTATGAGAGATAAAGTAGTGATTTGGGTCTATATTGGTCTACTTATTTTTGCTGTTGTTTTTGTCATCATTGTTAATTTGGTATATTGATGGTTTCTAAGCAAGGAAAGGACATGATCAGAGTGGCATCTTAGAACAGGCAATGTGTCAGTAGGTGAAATGGAAAGGGGGCTAAAGTTGAAGCAGAGAGGATAGTTGGGAGACTTTTGTACTCATTGAGGCAAAGAGTAACACAGTGTAACATAGAGTGGCGGCAGAAAGGTAGGAAAGGACAAGGCAAGAAAGGCTGACAAAGGAAGACTAGCCAGTCTTGGCATTTGAAGGAATGTGCAAGATTTTAGAAAGGGAAAATGATGATGCTGACCTGGGATTGAAGCTGGATGTTGGGGAGAACATGGGATCACTAAATGAGAAAGTAGGTAATGGTTTTGGTGTGGCAGATGGGCATCTGGGTAGAAGTCTCTAGAAGATAGAGGAAAATGCAGGTATGAAGCTTATACAAGAGCCCAGAGCTATAGAGGACAGTGACAAAGTTGTGGCTTTGGAAGAGAATCATTAAGGAGAGATTAGTAAAATGGCAAGGCAATGGTTGGCAGTCCTTTGGGAGCTATCTTGTCTAGAGGCAGAAGGAGAAAGAAAGTACTTGCAAAGGAAAAAGCAGAAGAGAACTGGAGTGCAGGACCATGAATGGCAAGAAGGAGGGATTCATGGGCGGGGGTGGCTAACAGTGTGGACCATTGTGAAGAGGTCAGAAAGGATGGAGGCTAAGAAATGGTCATGGGATTTGCAGATTATATAACCAGCTGTCAACATTTCCAGCATGCAGGGTTGAAAGAGAGAAGGCATTTGCCTATTGATAACAGATTTAAAGTAATACTCAATTATGATTTTTCTAGCTGGGGAAGAAATAAGTATATTCATTGGTGCTTAGGAAAAAGCCTACAGACAAAGAGATTGTTGACAAAGGCAAGAATAGTTGATGGTCATGCCTTGAAATAAATAAGTTAGCATGGAGCAGAAGAAAAGAGGGAAAAAGTAGCTTTTGAGGTGCAGAGAGATGAAGTAAAGGCCCCAGTGTTTTCAGTAATGCAGGACCTAAGCATTTGGGTTTGAGAAGAACAGAGGAAGTTTGAAACAGCTGCTGGGAATGTAAGACAGGGGCAAGCAGCAATGATAGGCAGTCTGGTCCACTCTTCAGCCTCCATTCCCACCCAGTTGTGTGAAAACTTAGCAACTTTAATTCATGAAGACAGGCTGAGGAACGCAACCACTCCCCCAGGCCCACACATACTCATTTAGATTTTGTTTATGCCAAAGCTTAGAATAGTCTATACTTTTAGATTCCTAGGATGTCTCATGGTTCATTTCACCAACCATAGGTTTTGCCTGTGCTCTTCTGTGGGGGTGTGTTGGGTCCCTCAGCAGACAGCATCCATGTTGCATATGTCAGCTCAGCCAACTAGCCACTTCCCTTTCTCACAAACCTGCCCCAGTGTAATCCCTAGGTTTCCCCCACCCCACCCCAGACACCACAGACAGACCCTGGACATCTGGCCAGCAACCACATTTTCTTGCAGCAGGGGAAGAGGTAGGGTGGGAGAGGAAGGGGAAAGATGCATCTCCCACCAAGGTGCATGCAATATACATGCTGTGTTCAGGAATGGAAGGGATGACAGAGAGGAAAGAAGGAAGAGAGGAAGGGAAGGGAAGGAAATGGAAGAGAAGGGAAGAGGGAGAAAGGGGCAAGGGAGAAGGGAAGGGAAGGGAAGAAGAGGGAAGGGAAAGGAAAGGAAAAGGAGAAGGAGACAAGACACTGGGGCCCTGAGCCTTGATTCTCTGGGTCCCAGACAAGCCCAGTAAGGCTTGAATGACTGTGTTCTGGGTTCAATATGAGTTGCCCCCCGCCCCATCATTCAGCATCCTTCTTCTTCCTTGGAGCAGTCTGACTAGGTTTCTGTCCCTACCTGGCAGCAAAGGAGCCTGTATACAGATCTGAACCTTCCCATCTCACAGGAGCTATGCAGAGGCCTAGAGGGGCACACATAACCCGTCCATTTTGTGTAACAGGCTTGGATTCTGCCTTCTGCCTTGACCCTTATGAGGCCCAGGTTCCCCTTTGGTCTGTCACTTTTAGATACACCATTCCTTTCTTCATGTTAGTGGAGTCTTTGCTTTTCCACTATGTGAAATCTAGGCTCCTATGCTGGGCATATGAACTAAATAACACCAGCAGCATTGTTCAGACTGAAAGCACTCGAGAAAGTGCATTTCCTCATCATTGAAAAAAATAATAGAAGCAGGGAGTGCTGTTGTTTAGTTGAGTGAGGAGATGAAAAGGGAGAGGGTTGACTTTGACTTTCCACCTTAGAGGGCAGGATAGAAACAGAGAATGAAAGAAGCAAGCAGCATGTTTGGCCCAGTGGGAAAAAGTGTGAGAAAGGAGCTCCCAACACAGCCCGTGGTATCTGTAGGACTGCAAGAAGTTTGGAATCAATGCAAACCAGGGAGAAAGCAGAGTGAGACCTCGGTATGCTTATAAAACTGAAGGAAAAGAAGACTCAAACTAAGAAGAAGAGAAAATCCACAAAGCTAGCACCTCACTGTGCATTTGTTTGAGGGTTGAAGTCAGGGCGTAGATGGTCTGGCATTAGACAGATGGATGTGTGCAGAGCATTTCAGTGGAGGCGACCAGCCTGAGACAGGACTGTATGACTTTGGCCACTGACTCCATGGAGTCTGGGCCTGGCTTGGGTTTCAGAGTGGACGATTGGCCAGTGTTTTTTAGAAGGTGGAGAGAACATTGTGACTTTCTACCACCTTGATCATACATATTCCAGGCAGCCTGCTCCAGACATAAGTCTGTAAGTCCATCTGTAAGCTGTTTGGATGTCCATGCCCTCACCTGTAGGAAGAGGGCCTTGGAGCTCTGGAACTGCCTGATTCCAGGCCACACAGGGCTGGCCTTATGGGGCTTGCCTGGGACTCAGTCTTCTAGACAGGCTGTCCCGCTTTGATCCAGGTTAAAGGGGACCCTGACTGTTCTGGGCCAGTCTGATACACAAGGACAGCCATAAGTTGGGACTCCTCAAGCTGGAGTAGGACATATAAGACTTTTGTCTTAGTGAGTTTTGCCAGGCTTATGCAGAATTCCTTAGCACTGTGACCGCTGTCACGCACAGCACCTTGTGACTGTCACCACAGCATTAGGTAAAAAGCATTCAAGCTTTGCAGTCATAACAACATCTGGAGAAAGGTAAGTTGCAGGTGACATCACAAGGTAACAATTGTCTGAGTGAACCCAGTCTTCTCACAAAGGAGCTGATCTTGGGAAGGAGCATGATTTTGCATCATTTTGCATCATTTCAAAAGTCTCAGCATAAAATCTGTGACATAATCTGTCACGAGTATGAAGCACCCCTGAGGAATAGAGGGGATACCAGATGGCAGCTCCCACAGGAGGAAAGAGTTCATACTGGTGGCTCTTGTGTGCAATTCTTTCCAACTCTGTTCATTGATCCCCTTGCCTGCTTCCTTTTGCTCTGTGGTGTTAAACCAGATTTTCCCAGGGGGGATGAAGGATGGGTCTGTAGCAGTATTAAAGCTTATCTGTTGTATTGTTTATGTCAAGAAATTAATTGTCATCTACACTGGGCTTTCCCAAAATGTGACCCAATGCATAGTCAAATGCTGGGCAGTGAAAAGACTGCTCACAAATAGAACTTGGAAAAAGCTTTTTTGTTAAAAACCTAAACAACATCCTGTGTCAAAACAAGTGTGACAATGGGCTATTATTTCTTGCCCCATAATAGCATGTTGTCACATCTTTGTGTCCTGGAGGAATGAAGGATGGGAGGAGATGTGGGAAGGAGCAGGGTGGAGGAGGCATGTGGAAACCATAGAGATGCACTTCTTGGTTTTCTAAGATGGAAACAGCTCCTTGGGGAAGTAACTCAGAGGTTAACCTTTGCAGGTACCCGGCCACAGCCTCGAGTTCATTTCCAGAGAAGAGCCCTGAGGTTGCCTGAGAACACCAGCTACAGTGACCTGACCGCCTTTCTCACAGCCACCAGCTCCCCGTCAGAGGTGGACAGTTTTCCCTATTTGCGAGGACTGGATGGAAATGGGACAGGTAATTCAAGTCTCTGCTCTTTCCAGACAGGGCTTCTAGGTTTTATTCTTTATATATGGACTTTAGATGTGGATGGTACTAAACGTGTTAGGATGAAACAGGGGAAGGGCTCTGATGAGAACTCTTTCTGCAGGTTCAAGAGCATTGATACTGTTATCTTCCAACAGCACAGCTAGGAATTTAAAGTCTGAACAGTACAGAACTGCATCTTAGCAGTTCTCCTTGAGTTCTCCTTGGTCTCCTTGAGCCTTTCTGCTATTTTCAACAGCCTTCTATGAGCTCTCCTTAGCTGACTAAATACTTCAATTCAATTGCAATTGTTATTCTTTAAAAGTATGAGATCAGACTTAGGGGATTTCTACCCCCTCTGACTTCCGCCTCATTCCACCTGCCCCCAGAATATGTGGTTGGTGTCAGAGCAGCCTCCTGTCCATCTGCCCTAGAGGAGACACGTAGCCACACCTACCCACCCACCATGTGCCAGGGCTGAGAGGGAAAGGGATGGTCCTCAGTTTCATCCCAAGATAAGCAAACAGCGTTCCATGCCCCATCACAAAGGGAGCCCCCAGGAGCAGGCAGCAAATGCTTTCTACTGTGCATCCATCTAGCCTTTCCCCACATTTTCCTCTCCCGGCACTTGCTATCTCTGCCTTTATTTCCTTTCAAAGGGGATTGGAAAAGCCTCCAAAGGGGGAGGGGAAGTTGCCTTGGAGTGTCAAAGAGTGGCCAGGCTTTGAAGTTGATTTGGAATCTTCTTCTGGCAGATGTCTAAGTCAGCTCTGTCACCATCACTATTCTAGCATGACACATGGAGCTACAAGATCAGAGAAACAAAAAGCCACCAGCCAGAACATTGGTGATAATGCTTATCAGAGAAAGACTGCAGATATGTGCCCTCTGCCTCATTCACATCCAGCAGCACTTGGAGATAACATGGTCCCCAGTCCTCCTGGTACAGGAGAGGTGCCAGGATTCTGGAGTTCTGAGTCATTTCCTTGCCTGCTCCCCCTTGTCTCCCCCACATTTTACACTAGACACAGCATAAAATTGGAAACCAGACTCTTTTTGGGGTTAATTCCTGCTAGGTAAGTTACTGCATTTCCTGGGGACACTTTTATTAAATTTTTCTTTGTTTCCACTACAAACTGATGATTCTGAAAAAGCCTTTAAACCTGAAACATTTAATCTGTTTTGTAGGGAGTTCATAAATTTCAGGTTGAGATAAGGTAACCTGGTGATTTCTTCCTCTTTTTTCCTCCTTCTGCAGTATTTATTTTGAGAAATGTTTCTTTGTTTAGTTTTGTATGCTGATGATGTATGCCACCAGACAGATGGATGATAGTCATCTTCACCAAACATTCTTGGGAAACTGTCTTGACTTTTACTTTGAATGTGTTAGCATTGCTTCAGGAGCCTGGTGACATCCAGTTTGCGACCATCATAACCTCCATTCAGTCTCCCTGACAAAATGAAACAGATTCATAAAACCCCAATTCAGTCTCCCTGACGAAATGGAACAGGTTCATAAAACCCCAACTCCGAGGGATAACCTCATTCCTCAGAGCTCATTAATTTTTCTGTGTCCCGCTTCTGCTAGCTCTTGAATAAATTATGAAATCTGAGAAAGCCGGTGGAAGAACACAAAGACATGGGACTATTGATTTTTTTTTAGAGAAGTTTATTTTATTTTAAAATCATTCTATTTCAGAGAGAACAGAGAAGATCTTTAGAAGGTGACATTAAATGTCTCTTCCACTGAAATAGCTGATAAATTGCCCTAGGAAGGACCACACCTTCTCTGAGAGCTACCAGAGACCTACCAGGAGCCTGGAACACAGCAGCCCTGTACTCATCATTCTGGTGCTGGCTTCCAGTCAGAGTTTGCACACAGCCTCCTCTCTTTTGCCCCCAGTCACTTGCCTCCTGTTTTATAAAAGGCATCTAAGAGATAACAGCTGAGGAGAGCTAGGACCAGACAGGTCTTTGTGAGATGACCAGTCATGACTAGAGGTCAATGAAGATGGGTGGAAACAGAGAAGCCATAAAGGAGATCAGGAAGGGAAGAGGTTTTGTTGGAATGTCATGAGGGCATTTGCGTCCAGTTTAGAGAGAGGATCAGGTTGTAGGTAGAGAAATGCAGCCACATGGAGATTTCAGCCACTACCATGCTTGCTTTTTCCAGCCCCTCTGCTCTGGAGCTCCCTGGCATTACAAGCAGGTCTTCTAGCATCATACTCTTCCCATGGTTGCTAAGAAAGCACAGAACTGCCCCATGGCATTCCCACCCACATGGGCTTAATGAAGTCACTTCCACTGATAACTTCCAAAAGACAGAGAGGAGTCAATAAAATGACAGTTCTTGTAATCCCCAAAAGTTGTGCAGGTTGATTCTCTTTTTTCCAGAATGCTTAGGATCAGAAGTAGTTTAGATTTGGAGTGTTTTTGGATTTTGGAATATTATCATAGACTTCACCAGTTAACATTATGGCACTTAGAAAATTTTGCATTTCAGAACGTTTTGGATTTCAGGTTTTTATCAGGGATGCTCAACCCTGTACTAGCATGCAAAGCCAAACAGAACCCTGGATGGCAGAGCAGGACCACTTGTATTATAGGCAAGCAATTAGTCAGAGGCCTTAGATGGTAACGGTTTACTCCATTTAGTGGTGCTTCCCCCACCCCCTGCTGCTTTGGCCTGACACCTGCCTGTGTTTATGCATAAAGGGCCAGGTAACATCAAGATAGGACAGGAAGGAAAGCCTAATTATATACAGAACTCTGTATTTTGTGCAGAATCAGAAATTCATAACAGAGAATGGAAGGAAAATATCTTATCCCATAAAGTCTGAATCATTTCAGAAAGTGAGAGAATAGCAGGAGAGACATGGGGAAGGCAGAGTTGGAGCAGGCATTTAATGGAGCACTGAATAAAGGTCCCTCCAGGAAGCAGAGGCAATTACCTACAATGTCTTAAGACAGGTAGAGAACTTTTTTTGAGACACAGTGTCCCTTTGTAGCCCACACTGGCCTTGAACTGAGGATTCTCCTTCCTCAGTGCTGGAATTACAGACCTGTGCTGTGATACCCTGCTGCAGCTAGAGAACTTTTAAAGGAACACTTAATGACAGGAAGCCAATGCATATTGCATTTGATTAGTTTGCTCATTTCTGCAATGTTTACTTGCTGAGAATATTTACAGCCATACACCCAAGAAGACATCTCATCAACCCTCCTTCATTGTAAAGATAAGAAAAATATCCCTGGAGGATCAGAGTAACTTGCCAGGGTTCACATAGGTAGCATGTGGCAGATCTGGTACTAGAACCCCCATCTCCCTGGACCAGGGAAGTGCAGGATCATGGCAAAGGAGAACTGAAAGGTGATGAGGGAGTAGAAAGAAAATGCTTTCTTCTGTACCTACCTGCTGCCTCCTTGTACAAATATCCTCATAGGATTTGATGAAAGAAAACAGCGCTCTTGGTCCAGGTGTGGTGACACATGCCTTTAATCCCAGCTACACAGGAGGTATGGGTAGGAGGGTTGTGGTCTGAGGCTGGGCCAGGCAAAAAGCTTAAGACCCTACCTAAAAAGTAACTAAAGCAGAAAGGGGTAAGAGCATGGGTCAAGTGGTAGAACACTTTCCTAGCAAATACAAGCCCTGAGTTCAAACCCCGGTGCCACCAAAAAGAAAAGGAAAAAGAAAATAGCACTACCTAATGGGAAATATTACTTCTAAGTTGCTTATACAGAATCCATTAAGTTTCTTAATGTCTCTGTAGTTTTAAGTTACATCTTGTAAACAAAATAGAATCACACATGGTAGACCTGGTTTTGCTTCGGCATCACCTTTAAGCATTTGGCACATATATGAAAAGTTTTAAATAGAAGCATGGGAAATTCTGGGTTTTGGTTTTCTTTATCTTGAAATAAGATGGCCAAACTAAAAGATTTCTGAACTTGAATCTGTGATTGCAACTTAGACATTTCAATGAAATCTCTCTTCTCATACCTTTTCCTTCATTGAGAAGCAGTATAAATGATGAAAGGTACTGTTGTCATTAAGTATTTAGAAATTGCTCATGAAGCATTTAGCTATTCAATCATTGTTGAAACTCTTAAAATTCACTAGATTTGTTTTAAATGTTTATATTTACCCAAATTGAAGGGTTGGCACTAGCTCAGGTCAATAAGTTAATATATAAATAGCTGAGTAAAAAAATCCTGTAGATTGGAGCCAGGTATGGTGGTGCATTCCTGGAACTGGAGCACCCACGAGGCTGAGGTAGGAGGACTGAGAGTTCTAGACCAGGCTGAGCTACCTAGTGAGATCTTGTCTCAAAAAAAAAATCCTATAGATTGTTTTCAAATGCAGCTTAAATGTTTTATTACTATGTTTATCATTCTGTTTAAGGAAATATATAAAATTATGACAAAATGTTTTGTGGTATCATATTTCACTGAAGAAAAATCTAAATGGGATTTCTTAAGTGAATAAATATTACTCTCATAAGCATTCTCTAATTTGTCTGCACACAGTCATTAAAACCCTGGCTTGGATAAAAGGTCTCTAATGGAGAATAATTGGGGGTATTAAATTCCTTTTAAAAAGACCAAAATAACAATGGCAACTAAAATAACTCATAAATATTTCAAGTCCAAGTTTCAATATACTTTTTGGCAGAAGTAAATTAGTATTTTGAAGCAATCCTTGAAGAAATTTGCTATTTAAAAAAAAAATCTGTAGGGATGATGGACTGGCTCAAGAAGTAAGAGCACCTGCCTAGCAAGCATGAGGCCCTGAGTTCAAACCCCAGTGCCACCAAAAATAAATAAATAAATAGCTGGGCACCATGGCACACTCCTGTCATCTGAAGCTACTGGAGAGGCTGAGGATCACAGTTCTAGTGACCTGCTGTTTTTTCTGTGCTGTTATGTATTGTTCGTTATAACACAGGGCTCATTTTATATAGAAGTTATTTCCAGTAGCTTCCACCTATGCCTTCATCTTGCATTACCGAAAAGCCGTTCCCTTTGGTGGTTTTTTTTGGAAGGAAAGGAAGCACATTAGTTAGAATTGGCAAACCTGAGCTTGGCCCCAGCTCTACTGGTAACTAGTGGATGATCTTCAGGCAGCCACCATTACTGTCCTCTCTAAGCCTATTTCCTCATAAAATAAGGATCTGACCTGCTTTTGACCTTGTGGTGAGGTTTATAGATGAATAAACCTCAAGTCCAAGTTTTAATCCCTGGCATATCAGAGGTTCTACTTGGGGAGCGGCAGCTGTGACTGTTTTTCTGCAGGTTTCCCTGGCCCCAGGTATGTTGTGTGCCCATGATGGACAGTGCCTCTTCCTTCTAGGAAACAGCACCAGGTACGACCTGACTCCAGTCACAGCTGTCAGCGTGCACTTGCTCAGCAGTAATGGAACACCAGTGCTGGTGGATGGTCCCATCTATGTCACTGTGCCCTTGGCCACACAGAGCACTCTGAGGCACAATGCCTATGTTGCAGCATGGCGGTTTGACCAGAAGTTGGGTAAGCAGGAATCCTCAGGCACTGTCTTTGGAAATCTATATTTGTTGGGAGGGAGAGGGGATTGCACATTTAAGCTAATAAACTTGGAAAACATCATTAAAGGTTATAAGAGCTAAAACTGGCCCTCCTGATTTTTATCCTTTTTATTCTCCAAAGGTAGTATCAGTCATCTTTTTTGTCTCTGGCAAAAGGAAAAACATTTGCCAACATTGTACAAAACAAATACGAATTACTCATGATTCCTACTACTTAGAGAAAAGCTCTGATATGTTTTGAATTTCATCCTACTCATTTCACTATGCATCTATGTATTAGTTATCAATTTCCATGTAACAAATTACCCTAAAATTTAGCAGCTTCACACTGTCAGGTGTTGTCTTGCAGTGTCTGGAGTTGTGAATCCAGGCACATCCGAGCTAACTGGATCCAACTCAGGGTCACTAGCAAGGCTGCCGCCAAGCTGTCTGCCAGATTCTGGTCATCTCAAGCAAGGGTCAGCTGTGAGTAGCGGGTGTGCTTCAGGACTCGTTCACATAACTGTGGGCTGGCCTCAGTTCCTTCCCAGGGGCTTCACTTCCTTGTCATATGTTCCTCTCCATAAAGCTGCTTCCAACATGGCAGTTTGCTTTTGGCAGATTCTTTACACCAAGTGTATTTTCTAAAGATACTTAATTCCTGAGTCAGTCATAACATAGTTCTAGGAATTGTTGAACATAGATGCTTATTGGGCTTTTAAGAGATTTTGTTTTGTTTAGCCTTCCAGGTAATTAATGCGCCTCATAATTATTTGTGAGGACTACACTGATTTTCCCAGATGTATTAAGCTTGACGTTGTTAGATGGATTGTTGTGTTAGCATATCCTGCCCTGCACTAAGGAAGACGGCCACTTGATTGCTTGTGTGTGTACCTGATAACTTAAAAATTGGTCACAGTCAGGCCACAAGGTGCACTCAGCCTCCAGGAGAGGCAACATGGGGATGTGTGACAGAATCTCAGAAGAAACAGAATTCTGAAGGGAGGAAGGAGATGGATAAAGAGGTAGGAAGGAAAATGGAAAGAGCTTGCAGGTATTTTGCTTCTTAAAGCCTGGACTCTGCTACTTACAAAACTCTTAAGTCCCACCTTGGGCAAATCACATATGCTTCTTTTCTCACTCACAAGAACTCATGCATTTGCAGAGACTGCTTCTCCATATGTCCTGCCTCTCTTTGCTTGCCCTCCCTTGGGCAAGCACACAAGTGTGGACCCAAACACACTTGGGTCCTTCCTCTGAAAAGGAAGTGGAGCTTATGAGGAAGTGTAGGGACTGTGAACACCATGGATTGGAATCCCAGCTCTGCCACCTTGGCTGTGCAGCCCTGGCCAAGTCGCTCAACCTTTCCTTTCTGCATCAGTTTCCTAGCTGTGAAATGGGGATAATAATAATGCCTGCTGTTGTTATGGCAAGTGTATTAAAGATTCTCCAGAGAAAAAGAGAGATGAGAGGGAGAGATTGATTTTAGGGAGTTGGTTCTCATGATTGAGGAGGCTTGGCAAGTCCAAAATTGCAAGGTAAGCTGGCAGAATAGATATGCTGAGGATTGACATTGAAATCCAAAGGTAATCTGATGAATTCTGCATCTTGGAGACCTCATTCTTTCTCTTAATTCCTTCAACTGATTGGATATGGCCCATCCACATTTCAGAGGGTTGATCAGCCTTACTCAAAGTCTACTGGTTTAAATGTTAATCTCATCCAAAAAGTTACCTTCAGAGCAACATTTGTATATATTTAATTAAATATCAGGGGACTACAGCCTAGCAAAGTGGACACATAAAATTCTCTCAAGAGTGAATGAGTTAGTACTTGTTAAGAAACATGTTACAGTCAGGCACTAGGCTCAAGCCTATAACCCCAGCTACTTGGGAGGCTGAGATCAGGAAGATCACCATTCCAGGCCAGCCCAGATAAAAAAAAGTTTGTGAGACCCATCTCAATGGAAAAAAGCTGGACGTGGTGGTGTGTGCCTCTCATCCAGCCACAGCAGAAAGTTTATAATAGGAGAATCATGGTCCAGACTACCCTGGACAAAAAGTGAGACCCTATCACCAAAATAACTAGAGTTAAAAAAAAGGCTGGAGGTGTGACTTAAGTGGTAGAGCGCCTGCCTCACAAGCACAAAGCTCTGAGTTCAAACTTCCGTACCACCAAAAGAAAAAAGAAAAAAAACCTTACTACAGTGCCTGGCCTATGCCAAGTACACCTAAAAGTATATGAATCAGACAAAGGTCTCCCTGCTTTGTGAAAGGTGCCATGCAAACCACTCACCCAGGCCCAGGTTTCCTGAGAGATTGTTCTTCACATGCATCTCACATCTCAGCCTCTGGGGTCCCTCTTCAGCCACTCTGTCTCCTGAAATGAATATCACTAAGTCCAACAGCAGCTGCCCAGTTGTGGAACCAGGTGACCTCACCTTCTTCTATGTTCCTGCAACATTTGCTGGCTCCTTTCCTGTATAG